GTCATCTGGCAGGGGCTGGGGATTTAGCTCAGTGGCAAAGCGCCTGCCTGGCAAACACAAGGTCGTGAGTTCGGTTCCCGGTACCGGAGAAAAACAAAAAAAAAAAAAAAAAAAAAAGAATCATCTGGTAATAGTTGACAGTAATTCTGGAGGGTGTCAGGAACCCAAGAATTTCACATGGATTTTACAGAAGTGGACCCTAATTTAGTTTAATTATTGTTACTGGATGTACATTTTGTTCAATGGACAGTTCTGCCTAATTAAAAAAGCTCTTTCAACGGTTGCATTTTGCTTGTCACTCATAGTTTAAAGTTGAGGTATTTCTAGCTCCTAATGGACATACCAAAAATGACCCATAACCCTGGGGCTCTCCGACCCTGAAATCCCATTTGATTTGAAATATACATTCTCTGAGCCAGAGATGCTCATCACACACAGGCTTAATCTGTTTTCTCCTGCTAAAAGAGCAAAGACAGCGCAGAGGAGCCGGTTCTAGTGGTGAGAGTGTGCTTGATGGGGAAGTCTTGCTCTAAAGAAATGTTCAAATCATCAATCATAGACCAGAAAAAGACCTGAGATTACGTGCCCCAATGTGGGAGCCCTATGATATCCTGATAAATGATTGTCCCTATGTTCTTACTGTGATAAAATATTAATAACATAAAGTTTACCACTGATATATAGATAAATGTTTGAAGTATACATTTCAGTGATATTAAATATATTCACAGTGGTATTAAACTATTATTACCTCTACCTATTTCCAGAATTTTTCCATCATCCAAAACAGAAACTCTATACTATTGAATAATAATACCCTGTTCTCTTTTCTCCCCAAGTCCTGCGAGCTATGAACTTATTTTCTTTCCCTATGAATTGCCCTTATTACTGGATTCTCAAATAAGTGGGATCATAATACCCGTTCTTTTGTGCCTGGTTTATTTCACTTAACATAATGTTTTCAGGGTACATCCTTGTTACAAAATGCATCAAACCTTCGTTCTGTTTTATGGCAAGGTAAGAATTAATAGCATGTATATACCACACTCTACTTTTTTACTTATCTGTTAATGGGAGCTGAGGTTTCCTTCTTTGGTCTCTTATGAATAATGCTGCTGTGAACATTGTATATAGGTATTTATTTGTATCCTTGCTCTCCATTTTTTCTTCATTTTTTGGCTATAGATCTACGGTTAATTGCTGGATCGCATGGCCATTCTATTCTCACCTTTCTTTTGGTGGTGGTGGTGGAGGTTGCTGGGAATCAAACCCAGGGCCTCACCAGTTGTTTTTACAGTAGTTGCACCTTTCTCTATTTCCACCAGCAATGGAACTGAGTCCACTCTCCCCCACATTCTTGCCAAAGGTTGCTAGTTTCTGTTTTATTTTGTGTTTTGTTTTTATTATAGCCATCCTGATGAGTATAAAGTAGTATCTCATTGGATTTAGTTATTCGTAAACATTTCTGTGCCAAGGAGCTCTGCAAACACCAAAGAGCTGTTGCAGATTGCCTTTAGTTGTTAAAAGGATCCTGATATCCATTACTAAATCTTTCCTCCCTCTACCAGTGATTTTTGACCTCAGTTGCACACCAGATTCACTTGAGAGCTTTAAAAACTTCTGCTATTCAGTCTGCAAACAAGACCAATTGCAGTAAATCAATGTCTCTGAGGTTGCAACCCATTGTCAGCCCTTTTTCCAGCTTCTGGAGAGACTGCAGTGTGTATCTGGGGTTGGAAGCCACCTCCTAAAGCCTTCTCCTGGACCCGCTTCATCATGCAATCTGTGCACCTTACAGTGTGACGGCCTTGCTACTAAGCCTTCTCTGACAACCACTACACAGCAGTCACCCTCTGTCCCCCACTGGCAGTCCCAGCCTCTTTACACTTCTGGATTCTTTTGCCATAGAATGTACTTATCATCTGACAGCGCATATTTTCTTGTGTGTCTGTTCATTGTCTGCTCTCTGCTTTGCTTATTGCTGTTTCCCTAGCACATACAATGCCTAACATAGAGTAGGTGCCGCACTTAGAAAATACTGTTGAATGAATGAATGAATGTGTAAATCGATTCTTAGTTCAAATTATGTCCCTTTTAGATAGTCAAAAATAGCTTTTGTTCTAGCCTTGGGACTTTATTTCTACAGGTAAAATCTCTTCTATACTTTCAATTAATTTTCAAAACCATTGAAGAATAAACCTCATCATTGTAAACATAATATGTCTTTCACCTAACTAGCAAATAATTGAGTTCTTACTCCAATTATGTATGTGTATAGATTGTACATGCTACAGTCTAGACATTGTGTTGAGCAGTTGCAATTGTGGGGGAAAAGCTAACCAGATCAGACTGTAGGGTGACACACAGACATAATCAATAACAGAAGTCATTTGAGATAACAATAAATGCTTGAAAGAAAATGAAAAATGTTTGTTGTCTGTGGCACATTAAATGAGGGTTGAATTTAATCTGAGACCTGAATGACAAGAAGTAGACAATCACTCAAGGAGCAGTCCAGGAAGAAATACATATCAAATACAGAGCCCTGAGGAGCAAACACATTTCAGAAAGCTCTGAGTCAGTGCCTTTAAGAAGTCCAAAGAAAAGAACCACTGTCGCCTCTTCTGTAGACACTTCACCCTAGCTAACATGGCCTTAAATCAGCAGGCATATCACGCTGCTTAACTCTTTTTCCACATCGGATCAAGTGTTCCCTGTCCAGCGTTTGTACTATTGATAGTTGGGACTTAAGTGTGGAAAGGTGATTTAGATGGACATATCTTTTCCTTTTATCTGAATCCCAGCTCTAAAAGTTTCAATCAATAAATCTATAGAAACATTTGTCAGCGGAGTGGAGGAACTGTTTTCTTCTACAACTACAGTAAGGCTGGTTCCTGATTCCAATTGGAACTTGGTCTTCTGTGCCTACCTAGTGGATGAAATTTTGTACTAGGTCAATGCCTGGACCTGGCAGGCTTATGCAATTGTGGGTCAGTGCCCATCTTGATTTTTCAATGGCACTCAGGAAAAACAGGTAATTTTTAATTCTTGGGGCCCTGTGTTCCAGTGATAGACTCATAGAACAAGCAGCCCTTTCTAGACCAACCCTTAACATGTTCTGACAATTCAGTTAAGCCATTTTTCCCCATTGACATGTAGGATTTGAGTCCATGGGTCTTAAGATCCCTTAAAATGTCATTTCAAAAAGCATTTTGTAACTCTATAAAAGATAAAATTTTTCATGTGACTTCTGAAGAGCCTACAGATACTATGCTTTCACTTACTTCGAGTTAGTAAAACAAAATTGTGAGCTTACACTAGGGAGGAAGCATTTGTAGAATCAAGAAAGATGCTGAAAGTGAACATAAATTTAAACTGAAAATGGTAATACATGTTGGGCACCAAACATGGGGTGACCCAAGGCAGTAGAAGAAGTCTCTGAGCTTATTGATTGGCTGCTCTCTCTTCTGTGGGCATCACAGAATCTAGGATCAATTTTTCTAGGTGAAGTTATAGAAGAGATCCAAGAGCAAACTTCAAGTATCATCGCTCCTGGGGCAGCCTCCCTGTAAACAGTAGCTTCTGCATGGGCTGCAATGAGATACTGAAAACAAGAGAGTCCCTATATTCCAGAAGACCCTGATGATAGTACGGTCAGTGATTCATCCAATACCATCGTTCTTTCATCCAGTAAATGTGAGTGACACATTGAATATACAGCAGTGAAAGAGCAGAGATCCTTACCTCGTGGAGCATACAATCTAGTTGTACACAAAACAAGAATCAAACAAATACATTGCTGAGTACATTCTCTGACAGAGAATACCTCGGGCTAGTGAATTCGCCCCTCTAAGCCTCCTGTTCTCATGATATATGAGTTAACCAGAAAAGCTAGTCAAGTGAAAGGTATTCCAGACCATGGAATATATTAGGTACATGACCTGTGTTAGAGTTGTCAATGTGGAAGTTTACCTTCCTCCGCATGAAGAAAGATAAGATGAATTCTCTTTCCCACATTCTGGAGTCTTCTTAAATTCTCTGTGGTTTTGTGTACCTGTGTCTTCCAGTTCCAAGGAGGGCTTTGGGTCAGTGGAGAAGGTCGTGCTACTCATGTTTCTCTCGGCGGTCATCCTGATGGCCATCCTGGGCAACCTGCTGGTGATGGTGGCTGTGTGCAGGGATAGGCAGCTCAGGTGAGCAATAGGGGGAACCCTTTAGGAAGTGGAGGTAGAGCTCTGGGCCTCCCTGGGAGAGTCAGGTCTGCATATTAACCTTGTAATTGTTAGTTAGGAGGGAAATATTGAGGGGAATTGTTTTTGAAAAATAGAGGCAGGGTGAAGTGATCACAGGTAATCCTACAACTGACAAGGCCAGTATAAGCACTTCTGTTTATTTCTGCCCTGTCTTTTTTCCCAAGTCCCATTTGGTTTATTTAAGTAGAGATCACTCTATATGCGATTATTGAGAGCACCTCTAATCTCTAAGCTCCACGTCATATCCTTGGTTCAAGAGCAGGGTGACTGACTAGTGACTGATACAGAATTAAACCTGAATCTTCTACCTTTTATTTTTCATCGCTCTCAATCCTGGCTGCAACTAGAATCATCTCAAGTGCTTCTAAAAAGTACTACTGTGAGGTATCAGTATGTGCCAGGCAATGTTGTGGACATCCTTATTCACTGTTAAATACAAATTTAACTGGGCAACCTGTGCTTGTTTGCTTGACTTTGGCACTGTTGGAAATTGCACCCACGGCCTCACCTGTGGTAGGCAAACACTCTACCCCTGAGTTACATTCCCAACCCATATCCTGTGTTAAAGGTGCTGCTGTTCTCAAGGGGATGCAAATAACCCAAGTTTCCTAAGCCAACCAATCTGGGATGAAATCTGAGGCACTAATATTTATTACACAAACCAAGTGATTCTAGTATCAGCCTGGACTGAGAGCCACTGAGCTATAAAAGAAGGTGCACTGTGCCAGTTCTCACTCCAGACGACAAGCAGCGGTGCAGTAAGGATGCAAATGAAGCAGAAAAGCACAATTCTGACCAGTGTCCCACAGGTGTGGCGCACAGTAGCTGGTCTATGGGTATAAAATGTTGGAAGGTGACTCTTCCAAAGAGGCCAGCCTAGGACTGAAACAAGGGTGGGAAATGATGAGGCCAGTGTAGGAAGAGAGCACTGGTGTGAAAGATCCTCGGGAGGGAGCGAGGTGCACGGGGACTCAGGGCAGGTCAGAGTGCCCCACTGGAAGGCAGAGGGGCTTTTGGTACATAGTGAAGAGGTCAGAACTGGTCCAACTACTGGATGTCTTCTCAGCCTTGCTACAGAAGGGGAAAATGAAACTCACATACCATGCTAAATGTATCACTTTTCTTCCCCTTTCCTCTCTCTCTCCTTTCCTTATTTCTTTGCCTCTCTTCCCATTTCTTCTCTTGTTCTTTTTTTCCTCTCTTCTCCCCTTGTCCCTCCTCCTTCCTGCTCCCTTATATATTTTCACTCACAGGAAAATAAAGACCAATTATTTCATTGTATCTCTTGCCTTTGCTGACCTGCTGGTTTCGGTGCTGGTGATGCCTTTTGGAGCTATTGAGCTGGTTCAAGACATCTGGATTTATGGGGAGATGTTTTGCCTTGTCCGGACATCTCTAGACGTCCTGCTCACAACAGCATCAATTTTTCACCTGTGCTGCATTTCCCTGGATAGGTAAGGACAGAACAATGTGCACAGGGAAGCTCCGAGCTGGAGGCAATAACCTGATAGATACTGCGGAGTGTCTTTCATTATAAGAAACGAATCTCAGAGAGGCAAATTTGGTAATTTATCTATTCACTTGGCCCTCAGCCTTTGCAGAGGGCTCCCTTTTCCCTAAGGTCTAGAGATTAGTGAGACCTAGAATGTGCCAGAAAGAAACTTATGGTCTAGATAATGATAAGTACCAGCAATTGTGTTTACAATAGAGCTCTAAATTTTGTACTGATGGCATAACAAAATTCTAAGGAAGCTAAGTGGCAAGAGTCAGCTTTGGCCTGTTAAGCAGCAGGACAGGTACTGAAAAATGGTGCCTAACCTTTATCTAAAATATGTCTGAGCAATAATGTCCAGGTGTGGGCATTTGATTTTAGAGATTCTTTTCCAGAAAGTTACCAATGATAATAAAATCTCCAAGCATTGCTTGGTTTTTGGACCCAGGTTTAGCATTTTTCTCTCTGTTGCACAATTTTGTTCTGTTTATTCATATTTGACTTCAGGAGGCCTAGTGATTTCCATCTCTGCCTCATTTATTAATGATGTATTATTACCATGTGTATCAATGCTTTCCATTTCCCAGTTCATGCTATTTGTATTGAATAGTAAAAGCAGACTGCAAATTAAAAGTGAGATGATTCCAGGAATATGCGACTGTGAGTATGGTCATATCTTAGGAGTTAGTTCACAAAAGGAAGTGTGTAAGGCACAAACTGCACACAGCCAGAAGTACCAGACGCTGTCTCTGAAGCAGTCCCCCAAATGTTAGTTTTCTCCAGTCTTGGTATAGATTATTATTTCCTTCATTGAGGATTAGGAAATATCATTGAGAGACATTAAAGACTGTAGTATATCTAATATATTTACATTTAAACAATAAAATTATAGTCTTCTTGGAGAATATTTTATACTGGAGGAGGTCCTTGAGGACTAAAAGCAGCTGTGAGAACATCTCCTCTCTCATGGATTGGAATTATAGGATGTGGTCTGCTTTGTATAAATTGCACTTTCTTTTTTTACTCTGGCAAGAACATAGAGTCAAATGTGCCCTAGTCACATGCATGTATAAGGATACTTTACTGTATAGCTAGAGATAAAAGCAATGGTAAAACCAAACTATTAGCCACTAGTTGGATCTACCACATGACGTAGTTTGAAAGTTGTATTTTTTAGCTTGTTTACAACAATCTCACTTTTTCTCTGAAAGACTTTTTTTTGGAACCAGGAATCAAACTCAGGAGCTCGTGCTTGCCAGGCAAGAAAGACTATTCTATGAGGAAGTAGAAATTACATTGAAATCTTAAAGGGTAACCTTCACATGACCATTGCTAAAAAGAATAGTGAAACTGAAAGTATTACAGGAACTTGCAGAAGATAATACTGGGAAAATAGGAAGCTGCAGGTTACTGAGGTTTGGGCAAAAGCAAGGGGAAGAAAATAAACCAGGTACAAAGGAAAGAATAGCAGAAAATATGGAACCATCATCTGGCAAAATCTGAGAAGGTCTGGAGGTTTTCTAGGAATATTTGATTTCCGAGTTCCTTATTTAGGTTCACTTTTTAAAAAAATATTTTTTTAAAGAGGAAAAAAAAGGATAACAAAATAAAGCCATGAAATTTTCCCTGAATAGGCCAGAGGTGTCACAAAGCAGCACGGATTGGTCATTAAATGTATCTGCATTCGAATTGGAGACGTTTAAGTTTAAATTTCAGCTCTGAGAGTGGTAGTAAGTTAATAAGCTTCTCTGAGTCTCAGTTTTCTTGTCTGTAAAATGATGGAAAAGAAAACAGTTATAGGATTGCAGTTTGATAATCCGTTTAGGGCTTAGCACTGGCCCACCTTGGACAGCGCTCATATTAGTGGATGTCCTTAGTTTCAATGCCTTTGGATCATCCATGCAACTTGTGATCTTCCATACCAGACTTTGAGTTCCTCAGTGAATGGCTGGTCCATCAGCTGCATCCTCTGGAAACCAGGTGGTTATTCTTAATGTGTTCTTTATTTGTCTCTGGCATTGAACTAATGTTAAGTCTTACTGATTTTCCTTCCTAAAAAGACCCTAATCTATTTCACCCTATCTCTATCATCCTGGTCCAAACCAATATTTTCAGCTGCATAAATCATTGTGGCATCCACAAAATTTCCCTTTGTGATTTTACAAATCACAAATTTTTGTGATTTTACAAATCACAAATTTTTGTGATTGTACAAATTAATTCCTCTTCAGTCTGTTGCCACTTGCCAGATCAAATGGTCATCTTTTACAAATGCAACTCTAAGCCTGCTGTTCTTTGCTGGAAAGCCCTAACTGGCTGTTCATTGCATTGAGGATCAAGACCAAACCTTTTGGTCTGTAGGACTTTTCACCATCTTTTTCCTGTCTGTCTTCCCCATTTCATTTCACTGTGTTTCCCAGCCTCACTTCTAGGTTCCAGGAACCTTGGCCTCCTTTCTCTTTTACCAGTGTGCTAAGTCAGGGTCTTGGCTTCTCCCTCTGGCTGGAAAACTCCTGTGTGTCTTGCAGATTTTAACTCAGTTCTGTCTTCCTTGAAGAAGTCCTCTCTGACTCCATCAAACCCATTATTCTTCATGGGAAATTCAGTGCAGTTGTAATTCAGATCAATTCTGTAATCTTAAAGGACTTTTCCTTCCCAGTGGGGAGAAAACTCACAGTTATGAACAAGAACAAGATAATCCTTGCCATCATAGACTTTGCCTTTATAATGGGAATATTGACAGCTAGCCAGTAACTATGTAAATATGTAGATGTTTGACAAATGCTATTGAACAAATGGAGTGATGAGAACATTCATTTTGTGAGCAATGCTACTAAAATTTGTTTCCTTCTCAGATAGTGGACATCAAAACTCCAATACCGTATGTAATGATGAGGAAAGAAACTCCCAATGTGAAGGATATCTGGGACGAGTTCCTGTTCTCCAAAATCAAAGAATGAATTTTAGGAACAATGGAGGTTAAGAGTGGAATAGATTTATTGAGGGAAAGAAAGCTTCTGTCCAAGAGAGGGGCAGAAGGGGACCTGAGTGGGTTGCCAAGGAACCTGCCTTTCTTAGAGATTTTTTTTTTTTTTT